TGTATAAAGACAAGCAGGTCCACTTGTGGTTTCCGAAATCTAATTTGTTGTATTCCTGCTTGATTTCAAGACGACCCAGCGCTTTTCAAACAATCAAACCGGATCTTAGGCATTACACTCTCCATCAGAGTTGTTGGATAATGCACATTAGTGTGATAGAGCTGAGAATATAACTGAATCTTTCATTTGAACTTTGAATTCTTTGAAAACTTTTAATTTTTTACACATTTTTAAGCATATTCATCTTTAAGTGTTATGCACTACATGTTATTTTACGCCAGAGAATGATGCAAATACATTGAATTCAGTGGAAATGGTGCATTGCAAGAATATAGATGGATGAATTGTGATAGAAAAGGTTACACATTTTGTCATCTTTTTATGTATATTGACCAGTGTGGTTTAGCAACCATTTAGTGCTCTTGTCAGAGTCTTAGAAGATTTCAAGCCGACTCGGATCTTACCAGACCCTCATGCATTACAGTCCATGAAATGTTTCATCAGAGCTGTTGAATCGAATTAAATCTTTAATTTGAATCTTTTAATTCAGTCTTTTATTTAAATATTTTAATAGAATCTTTGGTCTAAGTTGTCAAATGTAAACTTGAATCAAATCTTTTGAATATTTGAACTGAATCAAATTGTCAAAAGTCACATCAAATGTCAAATCTATTTAAGGAAGTATTTATACTACATTGCCCTATTTTACATGTACCAGAACACAAGTAGAGTTTGCATTTCTATTCAGTGTTTTTTATATGCAAATGATTTTAAGTCATGTTGTATTCGCAAATGATATACAATGTTAAGAATAGTTGACCAATATATGTTTTTAAAGAGTGGTATGTTTTTAAAGATATTATCAGCCATTATATTAGTCAATTTAGAATCAGGGATTTGTATTTTATGAAGACTACTGATCTATTCTGAATCTATTTTGAGATTCATCTGGTGAAATTGTGCTGCATTGATAATAATTCAAAATAAAAGTTTCTATAACGAAAATGAACTGGTTAAAATTAACGTTCATGTCATATTGGTGCCTCCCATGTTGACGGCTCAAAGGATTTGACGATTGCTGGTGTGAAAAAGAGGGATTTTATTGGAATTCACTGCTATTGTGGAAATGCCTGTGAAGCCGGAGCTCATAAATGACTTACAGGTCTCACTGTCCTCAGGAAATCTCGGCTGCTGATCAAGCTTACTGCATGTTGCATTCTCCACGGCTTTGGTTGATTCCTGGGCTTTTCAGATTGATTTGCGACAGGGCTATCAGAGCATTGCGAGGAATGCTGCTTTCTTCTTTCATGAAAAATGCATTGTTTTGCATGCTTTGAAACATGGAAATGACCTAATGTGCTCCTGCATATCATCTCACATGTTGAACCTCATATTTCTACTCCATCACTGCCAGGCATTTCTTCTGCATGGCAGATTTGTCAAAGTTAAGATATATTGGTACTGAAAATATGTAGTGGGCAAACCCGCAGGAACATTTTATTGCTCACAGGTTACGCTTTAATATCTCCATGCTATGGGTACATGAGCATAGCTCTAGAATAAATCATTTTGTTGACCTCAAGTGCCTTCAATCTATACTATTTATTGGCTTGAGGAATTGCATTACTTTTATACATCAGTGCACTTGGACAGCTCCATTTCAAAGATATGCAGCTAGTGATGTTTTTAAAAACAGGGCTGTATTAAGACTGTTTGAAAAATGTCTTTGAAAGAAGTCTCTTCTGCCCACAAAGGCGGCATTTATTGATTAAAAATACAGCAACAACAGTAAAATTGTGAAATATTATTTAAATTTAAAGGAACTTTTTTTATTTTATTTTGAATATATTTTCAAATGTAATTTATTCCTGTGATCAAAGCAGAATTTTCAGCTTCATAATTACAGTCTTCAGTGTCACAATAGTTAATATTTTTGTGGAAACCAAGATACATTTTATTTCTCAGGATTTATTTATTTATTTTTAATGAAAAGCAAGCGAAGATGTCACTTTAGATAAATTTAATGCATTTTTACGGCAGAAAAATATGTCACTGTCAATAAATAAATGTATTTTAAATGGGAAAATAAAGAACAAGTTTCACTCTTCTGCACTCTTAAAAATAAATAAATAATAATAATAATATAAATAAAATAATAATAAATAATAATAATACAATAAAAAATCTTATTTTTATATGCATGTTTGCAGTTTTACAGTGGCAGAGAAGTCAGCAGTGTGGTTCCATTTAACAGACTTTGTCTTGACAACCTTTCAGACAATGTATTAAAGCATGAAAATAATCCGGTGACTTTTCCTCGGTCTCAGAGTACAATGACATATCGTGGCACAATCCTGGTACACAGTACAGTGACATATCTTGGATATATCCTAACCTTTCAGATACCATATAAAAGCATGAAAACAATGCTGTGATTTTTCCTTAGTCTCAATGACATATCCTAGTAGAGTCCCTTGTTCAAAGTCTCATGTGCAACTAGACAGGCTCTCAGTGTACTGTGTGAAGTTAATGGCTGATTAGGAAGTGTATGAAAAAAAACTGTCGGCACATTGTGCGAGTGAGTCTTACTGTGATGAAATTGCAGACACACTGCGTTCAAAGCTCTCCTGCGCTCGGCATTTGATGTGGGAGTGTAAAACGTCAGAGCAGCTCCGTTTGATCCTCTCCCTTCACAGTCTTCCAGAAACACGTGTAGCTTTAGAGCGGGAGAGGAAGGGTGTTGGGTGCTGTCTGGATCATCACAGACGAGCAGAATGATGAAGATGCTAAGAGTTTATCCCCGAATCCGGAGGTGTGACGTGCAACTGATCCTCTGCTTGTTCTTTCTATTACGAGCCGACGGTGGAGTCGTGTAAAGCAAAGATTTTGAAGGGTAAATAAGTGAAGCTTGACAGGATACATGTGTTTGAAACGTTAGAAAAGTTAATTGAAAACTCATTCCCATACCCTACCTCAGAAGAAGGGAAAGTAGAGACTAGCTTAAAGTAAGAATACTGTGTGAAGTTAATGGCTGATTAGGAAGTGTATGAAAAAAAACTGTCGGCACATTGTGCGAGTGAGTCTTACTGTGATGAAATTGCAGACACACTGCGTTCAAAGCTCTCCTGCGCTCGGCATTTGATGTGGGAGTGTAAAACGTCAGAGCAGCTCCGTTTGATCCTCTCCCTTCACAGTCTTCCAGAAACACGTGTAGCTTTAGAGCGGGAGAGGAAGGGTGTTGGGTGCTGTCTGGATCATCACAGACGAGCAGAATGATGAAGATGCTAAGAGTTTATCCCCGAATCCGGAGGTGTGACGTGCAACTGATCCTCTGCTTGTTCTTGCAATTACGAGTCGACGGTGGAGTCGTGTAAAGCAAAGATTTTGAAGGGTAAATAAGTGAAGCTTGACAGGATACATGTGTTTGAAACGTTAGAAAAGTTCATTGAAAACTCATTCCCATACTCTACCTCAGAAGAAGGGAAAGTAGAGACTAGCTTAAAGTAAGAAAAGAAACACTGACTATATAGCTATATAACTAATGTACTGCCTAGTATATATTGTATAATACCTACCGTTGTTTTATATTACTTAAAAGATTCACTGATCTAAGAAATAAATAAATGGTTGTTTTGCTTTTTTTATCCTTGTGTAAAATAGAATACAATTACTAATTCTAACAGCAGGGTTTTTCAGTGCTGTTTTAGCAGTATTTTGTACTATTATAGTATTTATTACTTTAAATTTGCTTTTAATTTTAATACAAATTTTTTTTTTTCAGTTTTTAATTTTAATTAATTGGAAATAAGTATATATATATATGTTTGTGTCTTTTTTTTGTATCAGAGTGCAAGGACATAATGGGATTACGTTTAAAAAAGAAATAAAATCACAATTGTAAGATCTAAAGTCTCAATTAAGAGAAACAAACTTATAATTGATAATTGTAAACTCACAATTAAGACAGTCTTAATGATTTTTATTATTATTTTGAATTAGCTTTTCATTTTAATGTTAATTTTAATGTTATTATTATTATTATTATTATTATTATTTACCTTTAATTTATTTTGATGTCACTGATAGTAATTTTAGTACTTCAATTTCAGTTAGTTGCCAAGGCAACATTTCAGATTTTTAGATTTTTAGAATGTAAGATTCATATTTTATTTTATTTGAGTTTTTTATTTAATTTTATTTTTTCATCTTCATTTCATTTACCTAAAATACTTTAATGTTATTTGTTTTAGTTTCAGTTTACAACACGTAACATATATGTTACATGCTACAGTTATAGGTAGTGTTATAAGGCACAACACTGTCAGGTTTGATCAGAGCAATCAACACATAATGTAATTTTGGATCTCTGTGAGAAACTCAACGGTAGTCGCTTGTTTCCAGTTGACCGTCTGCCTCCTTTCAGTGTGGCCTTGACCTTTGGAGAGCCACCTGCGCGTGATGGACAGAAGATGGTTGGCGTACAAGCTCTGAGTCAAGTATAAAGATAGGGAATGACATGCAATTATCAGAGACGGCTGGAAGTAGATATATGTCTGCTCTGAAGGCTAGCTGATGTGAGAATGTTGTTGCTCGAAGTCTGTCAACAAGTGTCTGCGAATGTTGCACCCTTGCACCCATATTGACACTGAAAATAGACATGCATTGAGCAGATGCAATGCTTTTACGAATATCTCACCCCAGTGTGGATTAAAAAGACACATTTGACCTGTTGTCAATGCAGTTCTTCACTCTGAAAACCACTTTAAGTGTTGCACAAACCACTCAGACCCTTTCAATACCCAACAGAGGTCCTTTCATAGATTATAAGTGCATAGTGGAGTGTCCTGCTAGAATATATTTCTTCCAACAGCACTCAGACCCTTTCAATACCCAACAGAGGTCCTTTCATAGATTATGAGTGCATAGTGGAGTGTCCTGCTAGAATATATTTCTTCCAACAGCTTGCAAAACAACTCTCAAATGCAACGCTGTACATTCAGGACTAACTTCTTTCCATTTGTATTTCTCCTGCAGGTCAATATATCTCCAGGCTGCAGTAAAGCATTGACCAAAATGCTGTACTGTCCGTACTGTGGAGGACTGCCAAGCCTCAAACCCTGTGCCAACTACTGCCAAAATGTCATGCGGGGCTGCCTGGCCAACCAAGCGGACCTGGACCCGGAGTGGAACCTCTTCATCGGTAAGATGCGCTTTCTGTTTCCGGCTCGGTTTTCAAATATAGATTTCTCCATTTGGATTGCTGCCGGATGGATTTTTGAGCTTCTGTAAGAAAATGATTCCCAATATAAGACATTTCATATCTATATGTTCATAGTTTTAAGTCAGCAAGAAAATAAAATTGATTATTTTACTTTCTTAATACAAGTTCCTTATTATATTGTGTATGATTCCTCGGTGTACATTCCAGTGTTTGTTTGTTTATGATTTTAAAAACATTTACATTAACATTTATGCATTTGGCAGACACTTTGTTTTGTTTTTTTTTATCTGAAATTTTATCAGTTCCTACTTTCTCTGGGAATCAAATCCATTTCCAGTGTAATTTCAGTATTTATTCAAATGTGTGTATATATATATACTGTATACACAGAGGCGGCGCAAGGGGTGGGCTAAGGAGGGTGAAGGCCCAAATGTTTTTATTACTATGCCCTGTACGCATCAGTGAGTTTTCACACTCATTTAAAATAATGTATATTAGAACCGTGGACTTACTCTCTGCACATCCAGCAGTCTACTTACGTTGTCATTCACTTCTGACAAGAACTGCCCACTGAGGCTTGTACTTCTGACCGACATGTAAACTGGCCAATCATCAATAAAAAGTTACAGCAGCTGCTTCAGGTATATGTAGCTTACTGTAAAACTTATCGCTATAATAGCCTACCGATTTTGCCATTTGTCAAATTAGGTTATTTGATCCATTCATAATAACGTTTTCATTCTTCGTTCCTGAATGAATAATATATATATATATATATATATATATATATAGGCCTAAATATATAATATATGTAATATTATATGTAATATTATCTACTGAGGCTAGTTGCATTAGAAAACATGTGCAGTTTAATCCCAAACATGAACAGACTCAAAATAAACAGGAACTTGGCAAACCATGGCAAACTCACCAACATTGGTACATGGAACAAAGCTAGACAAAGCACAAAGTAACACAAGGGCTATTTGTATCAAACAAAGGGGTCACATGATACAATCCAACCAAAGAGAATAGGCTTGTTCGAGATGCACTACACTAGCCTGCCACCGGCTGGCGAGAGTAGCCGCTTGCAGTCGGGGCGGAATTAAAAGCGGAGACGTCAAGCTGCTTTCTGCTCCCGGTAGTGACGCTCTCGCAGTGTTTGCATACTCTATCACAGATAAAGTGAATTAAATGAAATATTTGTCAAATACACAGAAATGTTTTCATGAGCAACAGAAACACTTTTTACATACTGTTTAATACAGCGCCATCTGTTCAAGAATAAAGTTCAGCATAAGCATAGACTACTAAATACCAATAAAGTGTGGGTATATATGCTTTTATCAGTGTTTTTAATAAAAATGACTCAAGATAACACTAAAAAAGCTTTTACTGTTATAAAAACACAGATTTGCTAGCATTATTGGAATTGAATTGTTAGAATAAACACGCAACGCACGTCGTGCTTGTCATCGCAGAATCTAACCAATGAGAATAAAGTGTGTCGTCATCAAGGCTTTCACAGCCGATTTTGAGCAATTGCAGTGCCTGACTTAGGCGGCTGGTCTCATTTTGCTCTCGCAGTACTTTGATTGCACATGTAATCGTAAGGCGGCTGCAGCGCCGATCAAAGTCAGACTAATGTTCTAACGAGAATGCATTGCTTTTGTCAGGCGGCAGCCTATCTTTGCGGCGCTGCATGAAGTCGAACAAGCCTAATGTAGGTGTGTTCGACTTGAAGCGGCGCTGCGCAGACCGATCGTTGTATGACATCAAAGTACCGCGAGAGCAGACTGCTCCTTACAATTTCGCATGGCTCTCGTGGTACTTTGATGTCATACACTGATCGGTCTGTGCAGCGCTGCTTCAAGTTGAACACACCTTGTGACACATACAACAAAGGAACCAATGAGAACAAGACACATGAACAAAAGGACCACATGGCAGGATCACATGATATATATATATATATATATTACTTCAACTTTAAATAAGCAAAAATGAGAAATGTTGCTTTGACAACTATATGAAATACAATAGTGTTTGTTGTTGTTTTTAAATAACAGTTGTTTTTAAAAGTGTTTCAAGTAACAAAAAAATTTTAACGGTTAACAGACATGACTAGATATCAAATGCAGTGGAAGACCGTTTACATTTGCTTCCTAGTTATGTTTGAATAATTTATACTTTTAATTCATAATAATTTTCCTTTTTAACACAAGCTGTCACAGCACAAGGACTGCTGTCAGTTTAAAAAGTGAGTCTGTATTATTATTTATTTATTTATTTATCTATCTATCTATCACATCAGCTGAAGGAAGTCAGTGTAATCACTGAATTGCATGTTATTGATAGTTGGTCCAAACAAGGAGTTTTGCTTTTTAGCAGTAGGTTTGGGTTTTTCTTCCAAACATTTTAATTTCAGTGCATCACTAGCTTTAGCCAACTCTAGCTCCATTCTAGTCGACTCTTTAATGTAACATTACTGAAGTAAAACGGGTCGTGAATGTCATGTTCTTTTATTTGGAAATGCAAAAGAAAGAGCTTGCTTGACTTTGAAAACACTGCTAATTGCTCACTGGCGGTTTGCACCTCCTAAAGCTGCTCAATTCTGTTGAATGTTTAATGTATTTCCATTGATGGCATGCACATATAGTTTTAGTGACGGTTCAGCTTGATTCATATGACCTATAGGCGTTAGCTTTAACAGCTTAATGCTGTCCACCCACAGAAACGAATGCTGCGAAAGTCCATAATTCTGTTCCCTCCAAAGCTCTGCTACATACTCAATGTGAAAATGCACGTATTGTATAACTTGGAAAGCAAAACTCTTTAAATTAATCATTCATTTGTGAATTTTATTATTTTTTTTAAATGTCCTGATGTGGCGTCCATTTAGTTTGCCTTTCTTGTTTTGTATTTTTTAGAGCTCATTGTCTGCACTATAGATTTTAAATCAGTATTTCTCTCCCCTGCTGAGAGATATCGACCGGCTTTATGGTGCCACAGTTCGATTAGCAAAAGAGGATAATTCATATTGTTTTGAATATTTATAGAATGGCCGCACATATGCTAGTTTTTGTTTGAAATAGCATGGCATTGTGCAATGGGCTCAGACAGGCCATCAGTATGGACTGACCTTTGCTCCATGTGGCATACGTGGCATTTACCCACAGCCTCTGTTGATGTGCCCTTCTCACCTGCATTGATTGGCAGGCCTGTGAAGACATTCAGACGGCGTCTTGTGCAGGTCCGGCCTCATTCACTGTATCGATTGTAGAAATTGTGTGGTTTACCAAACTTTCACAGAAGTAGCCTGAAGGCCTTTTGGAAATTGGCAGTATTGAGTTGATTACGTCGACCGCATGGGTTTTTTTCATGGACGATGCCAGTACCGCTAACTCAAGGGCGTATATATGCGATATGGGTTAATGCAGTGTAATTATAGCAGTTCCCAGAGGAAAAGCTGCTCTGCTATAGTTCAGGAGGCTTAGTGGAGCTCTCATGCATGTTTCTTTATCAACTTCAGCTCAAATGTTTCTCCTAACATGCATGGAATAAAGTATAGAGCTGTAAAATGAATGTGGATAACAGCTCAGATCAGAGAAATGTTCATGTTGAGGTGTCTGAATTTTGCAACATATGCAACATTTATGTCACTTGAAGTAAAATAAACATTAACTAAAATAAAATATAATAAAATAAAATTTGAGCTAGTTACCAAAGCAACATTTCTTTAATTTAACTTGATGTACAAAAATAACTAAAACCTAAATAAAATTCATCAAAAAAATCTAATAAAAATGGCAAGAACACATAAATTAAACACAAACAAAAACACAAAAACAAAATGACTAAAACTTTACATTTAAATTTAAAAAGTAAAAAGAGTTAATTTTAGTTTAGTTTTAGTTTAATTTTTTGTAAATTTATTACGTGCTTTTATCATTTTAGTCTCTCATGTTTTTTTTGTTTTTTTTTATCAGTGTCATTTATGTTTCTGTTTAATGTTAATATACTTTCATTTTAGTTTCAGTAATAAATCTGTTATTTACCAAGACAACATTTCTAATGTTCATTGATTTTGTTTTTTATTGATTGACTGTAATTTTTTTAAATATGCAATAGATGCATGTTGAATTTACATATGCAGGCATCTTGTATTGAATTTGTTGCATGCAATAAAACAACTTTGCAAGTACCTCATGCTAGGATCTTTTATTTGCTAATTGTGGCTTGTTAGCTCTCCTCTGAGAAATCATATTTTGTGATGTATTTTTGGTCAGCAATTAAAGATTCCTACTGCAAAGCGCCAGGATATGATTCCACAGAACAAATGTAACCATTGTGAGAAATTAATTATCTGTGTTATTAATTTTCTCATGAAGCCGCAGGGGTTCGGAATTATCTCAATTCAAGAAACTGCAGGAGACGTTATGCCACCATTAGCCTCGAGCTGCAAAAAAAAAATAAAAAAAAATGAGATCACGCTGTTTGGGAAGAAAACAGACGGACGTGGCATTTCATCAGAACCAATGAGTTAGAGTTTCACAGGAAATGAGAAACATCAGGCTACTGGTTTATTCTTATCCTGATGAATACGCCACCTCTGGGCTGGGGTCAGACAGCAGAGGAAGTATCATTTCAGCTTCGTCCTATGAGCATTAGTCTCTTTCTGCTTCTGAGTCTCAATTATACTGCATGACGTCTTAAAGGTTTTGTGTGCACAAGGACACAGTTTTTACTGCATAAAGGGTTTGTTTACTGACGCCCATTAGGTCTTGGACTTACATGTGCGTGTACACAGTGTATAAATTATACAATGACTTTCTGAAGGATCAGAGTGATTTTCTATGCAATGCATTACTTCTTATGAAACTCTGATGACTTATTTTTATTTCTTATTTGTTGAGATGTACATATATACAGTGAAATTAAACAGAAAACATATTATGACACATAGAAGAGCTTATAAT